AGTTTAGGTTCTTGCCACCATGTTTGGCCAGCTATAAGTTGTAATGCCATGGCCGTGTGCCTGCTCTGGGGGTGGGGTCCCAGAATACAGGGCAACTCTTGGACAAACAACGTGAACTTAATATATGAGTCTAGAACATCTGAAACAAATGGGTTCGCAGGTGCTAGATTAATAGGAGATGGATCTTTAACTCGGGCAGATGACCTCCTTAGCCTGTATGTTGCTTCACCAGCCAAGCAGCCTGCGACAGGAGACAGCTGGACAATATGAGTTCTTTCTTATCATTTGCTTTTCCTCATTAGTGCCAAGAAGGTTTTAGTTCAAAGATCAAACACTGCCTACTTCATGGAACTGCAAGCCTTGGCTTTGAGCCTGGAGCTGTCAACATACCTGGTGCAGGATGCAGAGAGATCTCAGGTAACCAAGTTAGGAATTTAGTGCATTCATGTAAGTAATACAATACATTTGGTGCTTTACGGGGGCCAGTTTCACAGAGTTGAAAACAATTGTGAGCAAAACTGATTGGGAGGAAGAAAGTTTAAAAAATGTGAATAACTGGGGATTTGTCTAAGAAAACTTTACTAGATGCCCCCAAAATTCCATAATTCAGCAATTATGAAAGAAGATTTCTTCAGTTAAACTATCCTACTTAAGACATATGAAAACAGTGATTAAACAAATAAATAAATTAAAACACAGGTGGGAAGTGGACACTGATAGAAATTACTATATATTAGCAGTTATAAAATGAAGACATTGAAAAGGGAAGCTAAAGGCATCAGTAAAAATATAACCAATTACCAATAAAGCTAAGGACAATAAAAAGGAATTTTTCAAATATCAGGAACAAAAGAACATTGTGCCAATATTTTAAAAGGATAACCTGCATAACTGCAGGCCTGTCAGCCTGACATTGTTTCCAGGCTAAATTATGAAAAGGCTGATATGGGAGGCATTCAGTAAAGAAGACAGCTTTATGGAAAATGTGTCTTGTCAGACAAACTTGATAGAATATTTGAGATTATCAACAGAATTTATAAAGATAAATATTAACAAAATATACTTAGATGTCTGTAAGAGTCATGCTTTAGTACTACATGAGAGTCTGATTAAAACATCATATATATTCAAAATCATGCAGTGCATATTAAATGGATTAAAAACTGGTTAACTGAAATATCTCAAAATAAATGTAAATGAGGAAATGTCACCTAAAAGAGGTGTTTCTGGTGGAATCCCACAGCTATCTGTTTTGGGCCAATACTCCAGAAAATTTTTATCAATGATATAGAATGAATTAAATAATCCTTGTTGGTCAAATTCGCAGATGAATCAGATTGATGACTCTAACGAGGACCGCTCTAGAACAGAGCCATGTGGCTTGTATGGTAAACAGGGCTCACTAGAACAGCGTGTGCGTGTGTGCGTTTAAAATACAGCCAAATGCAAGGTCATACATCTAGGAACCAGGAATGTAGGTCCCACTTCTAGGATCATTAATGTTGATTTTCAATATGTCTTGGAATACTGGGGAAGTTCCAGAAGACTAGAAGAAAGCTAATGTTGTGCCAATATTTAAAAAGAGTAAACAGATGACCCGAGTAATTATAAGGCCTGTCAGTCTGACATTGATCCCGGGCAAGATAATGGAGCGGCTGATATGGGACTCGATTTAATAAAGAATTAAAGGATGATAATGTAATTAATGTCAATCAACATGGGTTTATGGAAGATATATCCTGTGATTTTTTTTATAGGATTATAAATTTGGTTAATAGTGTTGATGTAATATGTTAGTGTAATGTACTTGTACTTCTGTAAAGTACTTGACTTGGTGTCACATGACATTTTGATTCAAAAACTAGAAAGCTGTAAAATTAACATGGCATAAGTTCCATGGATTAAAAGCTGGCTAACTGATAGGTCCCAACATGTAATTGTCAACAGGAAATCCTCATCAAATGGGTATGTTTCTAGCACGGCCCTGCGGGGATCAGTTCTTAGCCCGACGCTATTTAACATTTTGATTAATGACCTGGAAGAAAATATAAAATCATCACTGATAAACTTCACTGATGACACAGAAATTGGGGGAGTGGTAAATAATGAAGAGGACAGATCATTGATTCAGAGCAATCTGGATCACCTGGTAAACTGGGTGCAAGCAAACAATGTGTGTTTTAATATGGCCCAATGTAAATATACATCTAGGAATGTAGGTCATACTTACATGATGTGGGATTCTATCCAAGGAAACTGTGACTCTGAAAATGATTTGGGGTCTTGGTGGATAATCAGCTGAACATGGGCTCCCAGGGCAACGCTCTGGCCAAAAGGGCTAATGCAGTCCTGGGATGCATAAAACAGGGGAATCTTGAGTAGGAATAAAGAGGTTATTTTACCTATTTGGCACTGGTGTGACTGCTGCTGGAATCTGGTGTCCAGTCCCAGTGCCCACAGTTCAAGAAGAAGGATGCTGATAAATTAAAGAGGGTTCAGAGAAGAGCCATGAGACTGATTAAAGGATTTGAAAACATGCCTGACAGTGATAGACTTAGCAGCTCCATCTATTTAGCTCAACAAAGAGAAGATGAAGGGGTGACTTGACCACAGTCTATAAGTACTTACATGGGGAACAAATATTTAATAATGGGTTCTTCAGTCTAGCAGAGAAAGGTGTAACATGATCCAATGGCTGGAAACTAGAGCTAGACAAATTCAGACTGGAAATAAGGTGTACATTTTTAACAGTGAGAATAATTAACCAATGGAACGATTCACCAAGAGTTGTGGCAGATTCTCCACCATTGACAACTGGACGTTTTTTCTAAAAGCTCCGGCCTGTGTTATACAGGAGGTCAGACTAGATAATCACACTGATCTCTTCTGGCCTTGGAATCTATGAATCTATGAACCCCCTTTCTGCTTGGGTATCTGTGCCAGGGTGTGACATCACAAGCTGCCCTGGACCACATTGCTGTGAGCCTATGCCTGTCAAACTTAATTTGTAACACTAAGGACTAATGCAGGTAGTTCGAGCTGGCTCTGGATTCAACCCAAACTGCCTAATTCCACATCGGTACCCAGAACTGAATTTTCCAAAGGTCGTGCAAGAGGTTAACAGGCGTTTGAGCGCCAACAAAACCCAGCCTCTGCCACATGTGGGGTAACTGTAGGTCAAACATGCCTCTTTGTATACACACACTGACTCTTCATTTGTGTATGCATAGGCAAGTTTGCCTGGTCAAACACAGCGTTTTGAGCATGCATGTACATTTTTGCAGTTGCACTTATAGAAACCTCATGTGCAAACCTGCCCTCTGTGCATGACTCTTCAGTTTACCCCAGGCACACCCCACTCCACCAAGCCCTCCACAGATCTCCCCTCAAGTCCTCCAATGGAGGGCATTAATTCACCTCCTGGGGAAAAGGAACATGATCTTAGCTTGGCAAGCTGGAGGCTCCAGCCACTCAGGGCTGGGCAGCACCTTGACTTTAACCTTGTGTGAATTTATTTTTGCAGCAATAACCGGCTGCCAAATAATTTGATCCGAGAGACAAGAGGCGAGAACCCTTTATCCCTCCAGATGCAATCGAGCGATTTACAGTGTCTGCAAGAAACCTTATTGCAAACATGCTCTTGCTCAGCGTGAAGCGGGGAGAAAGCCAAGCTGAGTGGGCAGAGGACAACATCTCTGCAGTTCTTCTGAGACAGATGCAGTAGTGATGGGAAAGCAATTACAAGCAATTATTGGCAGAGGCTGTCATGTGGAAACAGTCTCATTGTTTAAAATCTGACCCAGCATGACTACCTCTCTTTAAAATGGTTATTGCCTTATACTTTAAATTTAAACAGCATCATTTACAATCTACCACTCCAAGGAAGACTGGATGACTTTGAGCCTTGATAGCAGGATGAAGATCTTTTCACTCGGTCACTAGACTGAGTCCCATTGAGTTTTGTAGCAAACTAAAGGATTGTTCTCATTATATCGTTCTCCTGTAGGCTAGGCGCAATGATTTTGGTTGGTCCTCTCCCATTGCTTAGCAGAGTCTCGTTACAAAATGCACAATTATTACAGATGGCAGTTTCAGGGAAAGACTAAGAAATGAATGCATCGTGGCTACTTTCACCTCCATAAGTAATTCCAAGGGATAAGGCCCCTAGGCAGGCAATAGCATGAGGAAGCCTGCATTTATATTGTTCATGCTGTACTTCCAAGGCTGCAATGTTTTCAGCTGAAACAGTGCATCTCCCGTGAACCTAGGAGATGTTATTTAGATCTGGTTAAGTCTTGGATCACAGTCGAATAGGGTAGGAGTTAAGGTCTGCTGGTGCTGAAATCTTCCAATTTGCAGGTATTCTTGTGAAATTTCATTGTCACCTACACCCGAAGTGGATAATAGGCCCTTTCTGGGTTTGGATCTGACCTGGAACAAAACCATATTGAGGAATTCAAATCAGAACCACCTGCAAAATTCTGAAAGGTAGGTTCAGAGTTCTGTTTTGTCCCATCTGTACCAGAAGGCCAACAAAACCATGATGCAGAGAGTTCCCTCCTCTGACACCAGTGCTGCCTTAACAACACCCTTCCTAAAGTCCCGTCAATGTCACTCACAAGTGATGCCGCTGGAATGAAAGAAAGAAAGAATTTGGTGCAATAAGAGGCTGTATTGAACTGAAATGGTCGTTGAACAAAAGCAGCCATGTTAATTTCAGCTCTATTAAAAAATAATAATGGATCAAAGTTTGCCAAATAGAAAAGGACAAAATCAGCAGAGAATTACTTTAATTATTACCTTCAAGCTTGCAAAAAAAAGATATTACAACTGAGTGCGCACACGACCGAGAAACTATAAAGGAAGTACTTGACAGTGGCCCTTTAATTAAACTGCACTGAATATCATTAGCAATGGACCTTTGGAATTTAAAGCCAATTACATTCTAAATACAAGTTACTTGCTTGCTGAGCAGCTTATGCATCATCTATCAGCGCTGTGTAAAGGAATGAAAAACCTACCCTTTGTCAGGCAAGGGTTTGTCTATCTATGGATTTTATGGAGCTCTTATGATCAGGCACCTAAACAGACAGACTTCTGGGGAAGAGAGAAAAGATGATTTCCCATTGGGATGGAGCCAGAGGCCACGACTGACATATCTGGTGCTTTTTTGGCTCACCAGGGAATAATGGTAAGTCCACTGTGTAAGTTCTGCCTCAGTACGACAGGAGTGTAAAACACTAAAATAGGGGGAATGGCTAAACCTTGCGAAGTATTTGCAACAAGCCTGAGATCCACGCAAAGCTCACCTGGGTTAGGGGATTTGTTACACATCTAGACCTGATTCATTGAAAGGTTTGTGAAGCGTGAGAGTCCGACTTGAGTCAATTTCTGGGTTTGCGTGGAAATGATGTAAAGTCTGCGATTTTGTGCTTGTAAAAATAACTAATTGTTGCCTGTCAAACCCCAGCGTTTTGGTACTGTATTACTACAGGATAGCATAGCACCTTTTTTTGTTGTTTTTAAAGAGATCCTGGTTTCAACACAAATGCCCGTAAAACTCAGGCATCTAGGCTGAGTCTTACTTTATGGTTTGGGGGCATTTCAAAACAGAATTCCCAAGCTGAACTTGGATGGGAGATGAATCTACATACAAAGAAAAAGACAAAAGTACACAGAAACCCTCGCTATACCACCGTAAACTGCTGAGCTTCTAGCAGTTCTAGAGCTGAGGTTATATACCCAATAGGAGATATGATGGCCCAAATGATGGAGACAGGGTGTAAGTGGGACCAGTGTGGTTGTCCGCGCCTCGCTGAATGGATGGAGAGATTAAACCAAATTCTAGTACTTGGGAAGTGAAGAAAAGAGAAATCCCATGCTTCATATCTTTTGAAAGAGCGGGCAAAGGGGGAAGAGAGAGAACTCTATCATCTAGTGTCAAGGACAGTGATAAAAAGAGGGACCTAGGGTTGGCGTAGCGAAGCCCAAACCTTGAGGCTACAGTTGTCTTGCCAGCTCTCGCAAAAATTCCAGGATAGTCCATGAGTGCCAATGAGAAGCCAACGGAAAGAGCCCTATTGACTTCTGCGGGGTTTGGATCAGACCCTTACCACAGTGCAGCACAAAGAACTCACTGCAATTTATTTTCTAGACATATTACTGCAGAACAGACAGTAATACGATACAGAGCCTATTTATTTTGTAACAGCTCCTGCTGTACTTACAGGGCAAAATTCTGCTCAGTTAGACTAGAGCAAGTCAGGAGAAGCCCTGTTGTTTTTAAAATCTGCCCTGCATGCTTGTTGTCCCTGGTGCAGAGGACTGCGGAACTGTTCAAGCAGTTACATCAATGAATACAGAGCACGAACGGCTCCTATTCATGTACCAGTTTGCAGGCTGTTGGCAGAAGTGTGGGAACTTGTGCTAAATATACTGAAAGGTTTTTGAAGGGTGGGACGGGAGGGGAGGGGATTCTGTAAAATGGAAGCAGTGCTGAATGGTTTACCAGAATAATCAAAGATCAAAGGATTGCCAGAAATTGTACCTCAGATCATCTATGACATGGGAGCATGCTGGGGTCATGGCAGCCATGGAGATGGATAAAGAACCCAAACTCTTATGTTAAGAGGTGAGAAGAGGAGTGAGGTGAAGACTTCATGCTCTGATGCCCAAGGCTTCTTTGCCGTTAACAAATAATTAAGCGTGGATAACATTTGTCACTTCTCCTGCTTCCTCCATCTCTAAGTGGAAGTCCTACGGAATTTTTATATATAATCGCAGAGAATTATATTCCTGCCCTACAATTATATAGGATGGTCCAAAATAAACCCCTCTAGATATATTAAATCCTATGTGTATTTCAGAGTCATTTCTACAGAAGGAGACAGCATGGTCAAGATGTTTGAGCGCTGGGCTAGAAAGATTTCTCCTCAATTCTAATTGTTGGTTCTGGCTTTGCCTGAGTCACTTTGCCTGCCTGCCTCAGTCTTCCCAGCTGTAAGAAAGGGATAATAATACTTCCAGTTGCCTACCTCCCCAGATTATCTAATATCTAGAAGCACTTTCTGACCTTCAGGTGCTGTAGCATGGGTAGGTATAGAAGCTTATTGGTGTCCTCCCCACTAAATTCAATGGGATTTTCCCATAAGGAATGGGAGGGTCTCAAAGCACATGACAAATGCTAATTAAGGCCCAAACAACATCCTTTGTGAGGTAGGTCAGAACCATTATCCCCATTTTTGAAGATGGGGAAACCGAGGCACAAGGCAAGGTGCTGGGATTTGCACAGTGAGTCAGTTGCAGAAGTGGTAATGGAACCCAGCTCCTCTGACTCTTTGTCCTTCCTTCAGGCACATGAGCAGCCCCTTTACAACCTCTGCAGGACTGTGGAGCCTTCCACAAGTGCCAGCCGTTTACATTTCCCTGTGACAGCGGAAGCCATGCATCCTCTCATGCAACTTAGCTCAAACTCTTAACTCAAATGAAAAAACTATAATTAATATGAAAATTCCCAAGGACTTTAGGAGCAGAGGCTGGTATCTTCCTCATGATATTTTAATATTAACCGTTTTCATTTGATTTGGGCATTACCTAATTACTGGCCTGCCGAACGCTTTGGGGGAGGGTGGGGGTTGCATGTAATGGAGCTCAGGATTGCTATTCATTTCCTTCACATGGTACATTTTGGCTCTGCTCCATGCTCTAGTCGCTGAAGCTATCGCCCCCAGACTCTGCTGGGAGCTGTGACTTCCTATTCCTGCTTGGCATGTAACCCCGGCTAAGCAAAGGGCAATCTATTGATGGATACTACAGTGGCCCAGGCGGCTGTTCCACGAGGCTGAAATCCACGTAACCTGGATGCGCAGTGCTGCTTCCATTTGTTCACTATAGCATCCAAGCAAGCCCTCTAGCTCTGCTCCATCTTAAAAGGCTGCCTGGAACATTTGCTAAGCATGCATCATTCCTTTAAGGAATTAGCTTCAGTGGAACAGAAGGCTCTGGCAGGCATCTGAAGGCTTTGGACTTTGCAATCTGGATAATCCATCTGAAACTCGGAAGGCAACTCAGAGAAAGGGGAAAGAAAAGTCATGAATAAAATAACAGGAGTACAAATCTGTCTGCAGCCCTTCCAAGCAACCATTTTATCGCTGGTCTTCAGAGCAGACCCGGGAGTTCCTGCGGTAGCTGCTAATGTGTTATCGGGGGCCAGGGGATAGTTAGACTATTTGGGTAATTGTATCCACATATATATGCTGCTTGCAGGCTGGGAGGAGATAGGCCAGAGCAAACCTGCCCAGGGTTTTAATCCTTGCTCTTCTATTTTTTCAGAGCAGAAAGATACACAGCCACGTAACACATGATTGATCAAACCTGCTAGTCCTCGTTTTCCCCACTAGCCTGCACACTCTCCGATATTGCAGCTGTTCCCCTGTGATGTTGCTGGGCTCAGCCATTTTATACACAGGATAAACAGAGCAGCTGTTGTGTCACCCACTGCACGAGTCCTAACACAAGGAAAGGTATGGGAGCTTGTGTAGTATAGGAGGGCTTTGGCATGCAGGCACAGCAGATGGGAAATGGGTACACATACCCCAGGGCAGAGCTGGGCTCTTCATTTGGGGATCTCAAAGGGCTTTACAAATCCAAGCTGCTGTGAAGGTTTGCAACCCTCAGGAGGTAGCTTCTATATAATGCAATAATTAGCTAAGAAATTGCTCTAGCTCACACAGTAAGTCTGTGGCAGAGCTGGGCACAGAATCCAGCAGACCTAGTTCCCTTCTCTCCTGCATTTACCGCTCCCGTAGCCCAGCCAGGAATGGAATCTGGGAACCCTGCCTCCCAGCATTCCCCTCTGACTTCTAGACCACAATGCTTCCCATAGGACTGGGAAGAGAATACGCAGCCTCCTCCTTATCTGACCCCAGCTCTCTCCCCTTCTCCATTGTTTCTTCTCTGTTCAGCTGCACCACTTGGGGTTCAGAGGGAACAGCTTATCTGGCTTCCTTATGATGCTGGCATTTGGAAAGGAAATCTGCCGTTTATTCAGGATTCCTTCTGCAGTCCCACAAACAGGAGGATGGGTGGTTGCAGCCATTGAATTCCCTTCACGACCCTAAGCTTGCTGCTTCCCATAACATTTTCAGCACATGCCATTTAATGTACTCTAAAGCCCTCTCTTGGCACATCCCTCGCGAAGGCTAACAGTACTGCTAAGCACTCCTAAAGCTCCTTTTCTCCCAGGATCTCCCAGGGTTTGTACAAAAATCCTCCCACGAAGGCAGCTCAGGCTGTTGATCCCCATTTTAAAGATGTACAGACTGAGGTCCGGAGAGATGGCGAGACTTACTCGAGGTCACAAGGTAACCGCTAGCTGGGATTAGGGGTCAGTCTACATTGCATTTGCGGATGTGACTGCAGCACGTGTAGACATTCCAGAGCTAGATTCAATCTAGCCAGCTCTGGTACTGTAGTAGTGAAACCGTGGCACCAGGGGCTTCAGTGCAGGCCAGTACAGCTCATGCTGCAACGTGTGCCACTGCTATTGGTACCTAAGTTAGCTAGACTAAAGCTAGTTCAGTTATGTCTACACAAACTGCAATCAAACCTTGTGATTGCAAGGGAGATGTACCCTAAGACTCACAACTGCTGACTAATAGTTGGGCTGGAGATTCCCTTTATAAACTGGTGCTCTCGGTGGGTTGCCTCTATGGCCAATGCCTAGACTGGGAAAGCACAGGAGACTGGAGTGAGTTAAGGAATTGAGCAGGGGCATTGAGACAGCATCGCTGTCAGCACGGAAGAATTGCGAGGGGATGTGGTAGCAGACACGGTGCCAGACACATCTATTCCATTTGAAAAAAAGATGAACCTGCCAGTGCAACAATGGCAAGAGAAAGGAGAAAATGCATGTCAGGCTGAGAAATATACAACAGACGGGACGGCGAATCTAGCAGCGGAGACATGGATAGGAGCTGTTAAATGGATGTACAGCAAACCTGTGCTTTTGCTCTGCTCCCTGATACAAGGGAATCTAACAAATTTTAGATGCAGTGCTTTTCTAACCACCTTTTGTAGAAGTTAAACACATTTCAGGCTGAGAGGGGTTCGGAGCAATTCCCATAGCACCCGCTGCTGTCAAGACTCTAAATAGCATGCTTAAAATGGACACCCTGGCTTCACTGGCTGTGGAATCTACTGGCTGCAGAAGCACCAGAGTAATCTTTCTTCTTCTTCTTTTACTGCAGAAAGGAGGAGAAAAGGGAAAGCAAAATGCAGAGCTAATAGGAAACAAGCAGAATCACTGAAATGCCAGAAAGTGGGACCTCACTAAGGGGAGGAGAATCAGGGCAAAAGGAGAAACTTAGAGTGGCTACCACTTGGCTTCAAAATGTCACTGCATTGTCCGGTAAGCCTCATGGAGCTGGAAACTTTTGCAATGCCAGGAAAACTATTTGGGCAACGGGTAGAGGGATAGCAGGTTTACTGAACTAATAGTTCATGAGTCACTTCCCCCTCTGATTTCTTTCAGGGGGGAGCAGGATAAAAACAATATGATTTTGCAGCTAAAGAGAAGGCTGAGCTGCGTGTTAGAGACAGAGGACTAGAGTTTGGCAGGACATATTTTTCCCGTCCCGAGAAAATGGTCAAAACGTTCCCCTCTTTGCACAGGGACGAGACAAAGACCCTTCACAATATTTTATGACAAACAAGAGACAGAACCCCTCCTCTCCCGGAATAGCTAACTGCCAGATGCTTTGGGCAATCCCTTGGAATGTAAGAAACTCAGGTTCAAATCCCCCTTCTGCCTGATTTGCAGCAGAGCTCCGATCCTGGGTCTTCCACATCCCAGCCCACGGCCCCAACCACCAGACTGTTGGCTATTTTGGGACGGGGCTCTCACAATCTCTCTTGCGGGAGATGTTCCACTTTGCATAAATAATTAAATGTTCATTGGGCCCAGAGGAAGACTGACTCTAGCGCCCAGTGGTTAGGATACTCACTTGAGATGGGGAGATCTGCTTTATTTGATTTGGAACAGGACCCTGAACCCAAATCTTGCATTCATCAGGGATATGTGGCTTACCCAACTTGGCTATTCTCTCTCTCATTCTGTTTTTGACTAGAAATTCTATTCTGGCCCTGAGAAACCTTCGAATGAAAGTTTTGCTGCAAGCAACCCTTTCCCGCAAAACGTTTTGGTTTCCACAAACAGATGTTTTCCGGTGAAAAAATACGTTTTGTCAAAAAATTCCCAAATGGTTCTATAGAGGACTCCAAGAATTACGTTTACATTACAATTTGAGTTGAGATATGCTGAAGTGTGGTAAAAAAATGACTCACAAAGCTGTAGTTTGTAGCACATATATGCTAAATTAACACTGGCCTAGCACAGCTAACACTGGTCCCGTCGAATGGAATTATACCAATGTAAAATGGATGGAGTGGAGGAACAGATCATTAAGTCCCAGAACCCCACACTAACAGGGAAGTAAGTATTATGAAAAAGAAGGATGCACTGAACCAGAAATAGGTTAATCATTTGTCCAAGGTCACTGACAGAACCGGCAATAGAAACCAAGAGTCCTGTCTTCCAGTCCACTAAAGCTAACAAGCCATAGTGCACCCTCTCCAGAATTTTAATGCGGAGAGGTAACAGAGACTTGAGAGCTGAAAGCCCTACAGTGTAATACTGTGTTTTTAAGTTCCGTAGTTAATCGAGCATCTTTTGAAGATGTCTGTAATGGGTGCGCTTCCCAGCACACCAAGGTTATACATCTATTAGAAGTGGGTTTGTTTTTAACGCAAGATGGGTCTGTTAAGCTGTTAGTGACTCCTCTACAGTAAAGATAACTGAGCTGTTCAGTATATTAAAGTTCACAATTAATTTAGATAACACCAGATGAGCTTTTTTTTTTTAAAGAAAAATCTGGAGATTAATGCTTAGAAATCTACAGGCATTAGGGAGAGCCGTAGTCTCTCTTACATGATGTAAAATCAAGTCTTCTTTTTTTATATGATTCAATTACAGATTGATGGGAAGGCTCCGAAACATGGATTAATGATCTTTTCTTAAAAGAAAGCTATACAGAATAAAAGAGAGAGATACGACAGGAAGAATTACTGCTCCCCGAACCCTGATTAAGGTTTAGTATGTTACATTCAAAACAGTGTAATAGGGAATTTGTGGATTCCCAGCTACATTAAGTGAGGATAAAGGAAACAGCATGATATAGTAAATTATCCTCCTGGAAACACTGCAAAGAGGGGGAAAAGGAAATCTCCGGGTGCACATGACCAATTTAAAGAAAACAGGTCAGATAAGAGAACGAGTTGTGTGCGTGGAAAAGGGAGATTGTTATGGGGCCCTGGAGCATTCGGAACGGTCTGAGTGAGTTTTACAAACCCAGGGCAAGATCTTCAGCTGGTGTCAGTGTGATTGCATTGGTGTCGATATAACTATGCGGATTTACACCACCTGAGCCTTTTGGCCCCTCCCCAGCTCCTTTTCTAGGAGGAGCCAGTGGGTTGGCTTAGAAAGAGTTCCAACTGGATTCTCAAGAACAGCCGCCTCAGAGCCTATTTGCAACTTAAGCTTTCCCTCTGCGGTGATTTTAGAACAGCTCCATCAAGCAGAACAGGGGCCCCTATTTTAGCACGGAGAAGAGAAGACACAGCTTCAGAGTGCCAACCACAGTCCCCATGTTCTGACAGGTCAGCAATGGGATTGTTCCGAAGAACCAGGTGACTTTTCATAAGCCATCCAAAGGCTGAAAACCAGTCACCTAAGCTTTAGGGCAAATACTTATGTATAATGGAGACAATCAGAGATATTAGGGTCATTTCGCAAAGAATCACACAAGCGGTCACATTCGGAGGGCTTGATTTTGAATTTCGGCTCAGGTGTGGGGCACAGGCCATTGGGTAAAACACACTGCTCCTCGAACAGCCACGGCAGGCACTCTGATTCAGACACACCCCCTCTGATTCACAATGCCGCTCCAGCTTCCTCGTCCTCCAGAGGGACTCTAATTTTCTGCTGGCCTATACAACTCCCGTGCCACCTAGCCCATGCAAGCATGCACCCAGGCTCAGCTCACTGGAGCGCCAATGAGCAAGGGAGCTGAAACAAGGGTCCACCCATTTCTCTGCGCACCTGCCCTGGCAGTCCAAATACCTCTGTAGGAAGTGAACTGGAGGGAGGGAGAGTGTCTTAAAATATAGTGGATTTTTTTTCAAACAGAGTTTTTGACTGAACAAATATTTCCAGGGAAGGTGGCTGCCTTGCTCGAAAACTGTCACATTTATATGGGAAAACCAAAAACTCAACACCTGAACTTTTTGCCCAGAAAAGGAGAATGCCAGGTTTTTTCTTCTGTGTTTTTGTTAAAAACAAAGTCAACATTTCCCACAAAACAAAATCAACATCCAGCCAGCTCTTGTCCCAAGGATGGCCCTGTGGAAGGGCACTATGCTGGCATGTGGGAGACCTGCTCTGACACAGAATGCCTCCGTGAGCTTGGGCAAGTCACTTAGGGTTTGTCTACACCCCAAAGTTGTACCACTGTCATTCTACTGGTATAAAGCCCACAGCCCCCCAATTGTACACTTTGTTACACTGCTTATGCCAGGACAGCTTCATCTCCCAGAACAAGAATAAGCTATGGTGATGAATCCGCTAATTAGGAAGCTACCAATGGCCCTCAAGCCCCTCCTCACAGATCTGTGACCATCCAAGGGTGGCCATGCAAGCACATCCCCTTCTCCTGGCTAGTTAGCAGGAGGGGGCAGAAACCTTAGGGAGTTTCCTGACACTGGAAGTATCTACGCTCTAGGGGGGCAGCAGCTGCATGGCAAACTGGGAGCAGCAGGGACGCTGAATGCAGGGGAAATGGAAAGAGAACCGTGCACAGAGCTCAGACCGCACGCAACCAGGCCATTACTGGTGGACATGGCAGCTGGATTCAGGGCTGTGCAGAACCAGCAGGGAGCCAGTGCAGAGGGGCCCCAATGAGACAGGCCACTTAGTGAGGCTGGAAACATGCAAGCTCCTATTTGCCTCTTGCAAAGACCGGACTGGCGAAGGCGCCCCAAACATTAAGCCTGAAG